ATAAATTAAATTAAATTAAATTAAATTAAATTAAATTAAATTAAATTGAATTAAATTAAATTAAATTAAATTAAATTAAATTAAATTAAATTAAATTAAATTATTAATTAAGGGGATAGAAGACTACACAAAAAATAATCTTGACTTATCGCATAGTAATAAATTATTAATATTCAAATTTTATTTTTGTTTTTTAATATTTTGTTAAAAGGCCAAATAAGGAATTCAAACAAAAAAAAAATAATTTTCTGTTTTGTTTTATACTTAGATCAGGCTTTAAAGGGTTAATATTAAAAATAGATTTTTTGTTTTTTCTTTTTACATATTTTGTTAAAATGCCAAATAAAGACTTCAAACCAAAAAAAAGTAATTTTCTGTTTTGTTTTATTCTTGGATCGGGCTTTAAAGGGTTAATATTAAAAATGTATTTCAGTTCTTTCTTTTTACATATTTTGTTAAAAGGCCAAATAAAGACTTCAAACCAAAAAAAAAAGTAATTTTCTGTTTTGTTTTATTCTTGGATCAGGCTTTATTGTGTTTTTTGGGTTTATTTCTTTGTCTTTATTGATGTTGCACCACAAAATGAGACTGAGATTTAGTTTTAAACTGATGATTCTGGTCCCCTCTTCATTCACTGTGAGAGGTAATGAAAACCCAACATCCTCAAAGATGAAATTGATTAGTGGAGGACTCTGTCTGGTGGTGGTGGTGATAATCATTATAAAAATGACAATTATGGTAATGAAATAAGCCCTAACAGGGCTGACAGTGAAATATGACGGTAAACAAAAGCGGAGAGAAAAAAAAAAGCGAGATGATGAGAAAAATGACATAAAAAGGTCAAATCTAACCCGGAATGGAGACTATGGGAGTTTTTATGACCACTGAAAGCATTAAGTACAGAATAATGAGCTGGTTCTGGTTATGGATATCCATGGAAATCCAACTCTGCCCACATCCAAGTCGGCCATTTTGATTAGGTGACCAATAGGAAGATCCCAGGCAAGAAAATCCTGATTGCTTCATGGCAATATAGACATTCATTTAAAAATAGTGAAATGAATCTTGCAAACACTGAATTAAACTCTATCCATAATATTATGTTAAAATAGTGGATGTTAAATAGGTTTGTACAATAAGTCCAAACAAGTTTAACCAAAAATATTTATTTCTCACTATTATGAAGGGTTAGGGTTAGGGTCAGGGTTAGGGTTAGGGTTAGGGTCAGGATTAGGGTTAGGGTCTGGGTTAGGGTTAGGGTCAGGGTTAGGGTCAGGGTCAGGGTCAGGGTTAGGGTTAGGGTCTGGGTTAAGATTAGGGTTAGGATCAGGGAAGATTAGGGTTAGGATCAATGTTAGGGTCAGGGTTAGGGTTAGGTTTAGGATTAGGTTTAAGGTCAGGGTTAGGGTTAGGGTTGGGATTAGGGTTGGGGTTAGGGTTAGGATTAGGGTTAGGGTTAGGGTCAGGGTCAGGGTCAGGGTCAGGGCCATTGTTAAGTTTAGGGTCAGGGTTAGGTTTACGGTTAGGGTCAGGGTTATGTTTAGGGTCAGGGTTAGGGTTAGAGTTAGGGTTAGGACATGGTTTTTCCTCTGATTTCATAAAGACAGTAAAGTTTTGTTTCCACCTCAGAAAGCTGCTAGTCACATGACCTAATCAAAATGGCCGACTTGGATGTGGGGGGAGTTGGATATCCAACCGAGGCTCCTACATCTACATTTTAGATAGATAGATAGATAGATAGATAGATAGATAGATAGATAGATAGATAGATAGATAGATAGATAGATAGATAGATAGATTGATTACTAAACTGAACACTTTCATCATCAGGATTTTTAAATAATCTTCATTAAACTGGAGGAGTGAATTAACATTCTAGCTGCTAATGTCTTATATTGATGATTATAAATTAATGGTTATAGGAACCACAATTGATTGTAATAATAATAGAATAATAATAGAATAATTTCTGAAATTGCATGTTAACAGATTTAGCCTTTTCTTTTTCTTTTTTCTTTTTTGGTCTTTCAGCCAATGAGGGACAATCGTACGAGAATTTAGTCCAAAGTTAGCAAAGTTATCCTGACTTCAGTCTGCTGCCTTTTCTCCTCTACCATCAATTCAGACACAGAAAAATAGTTTTTTTTCCCTTTCCTATCATCTAAAATGTCATTTTAACTCTTTTCTTGCTATTATTTCAGATAAAGAAAAAAAGTCTGATGATGTCATACATATAAATATGAGGGATGATTTTCAAAAATGATGCCTAAAAAGAGTAAATTAGGTCTAAATGAGAAAAAAACAGAGCAAAATAATGAATGTGAAATTTGAAAAAAGGCGGAAATAATAATTGAGATGTTTTTAAATCTTTTTGATGTTTTTCCGATTCCCGTCCACGTCGTTTTGAGTTAGTATATTTGATATATTCTGTATGAATGCAGGATCTTTTATGTTTTTCAGCGAGAGTGTCTGGGGGACGATCTGCTAAAGCTTGTCCGTAAATATGGGCTTCTAGACAGAGTATGTAGTAACAAATTGACCCTCTAGGGGGCAGTGCCACTTTTGATGGGAGATGAGCATAGACTGTAGGCAAATAAGAAAAAGGGAACGGTTCTATGAGAGAACATGTCGCCGGTGAGACGCAAGTCCAGGAAGAACGGAATAAGGTAGAAACACATTGTTTTTCCTGGTGAAAGAAGAGAGTCTACTCTTTCTTTTGGTGTGTTCGGTGTTTACATAGTCATAGCACAAACTATTCTGTGGCTCTGGAAAAATCCGCTCTGGAAGTCTTCAGCATTCTCGTAGATCTTCCTGAATGGGTCTAGGACATTGTTTATCTTCTGATTTCGTAAAGACAGTAAAGTTTGGTTTCCAGCTCAGGACGATTCCAGATATAAGAAACTCATCCTGAAGAATTAGTGATCCAAAAAGTGAGAGAATGGATGATAAAGAAAGCCGTGTAAAAGAAAACATAACAGGAAAATAAAAAAGATTTATTCACATCTCTTGGAAATAGATGATCAAATATTTCCACACGTAATTAAAACATAATTAAATACAATTTCTCTCTATATTTTTATTTATTTATTAATACTTCTTTACCTCGTTAGGAGGTTTTATGTTTTTAAGTGGGAGGTTTCTGTAAGGGTGCTGGGATATTGATAATAATAATTAAGCAAAGTTTAACGGTAATTACGACTTAATTTTATATTACGTTAATGTAAACTAAAGCAGGCTTTTAGTTGTGAGTTAGACTTTAATGAGTTTATTAGCTTTAAAGGAGCCGTTAGAGCTCCTGGATCCTTTCTTTGGTCTCACAATTGTCCGACCACTTTATCCACGACAAAAATAATATGTCAGAGTTCTGTCACATGGGATTTGTAAGGATTTCGCAAATTCCACAGTTCATGGCACACAAACTCCTAAACACGGAGAAAATAAGACTGTCAAAAGCAAATCTCTAAATCTGGGACTCCCCTGTTTACATCCTATTCCAGCACTAAATAAATGGACTGACTTTAACCCTGTAATGCCAAATGTATCATATCTGATTCATACTGTT